TAGGCGACTTGAAACCCACGAGGATGGACTTACAACTAGCAGACAGATCTATCAAGTATCCAACAGGGATTTTAGAAGACGTACCCCTCAAGATTGGCGGATTCTATGTACCGGTGGATTTTGTAGTGCTAGACATGGATGAGGATTCCAAAGTTTCAATCATCTTGGGCCGACCATTCTTGAGCACAACGGATGGCATAGTTCATGTCTGAGCCGGTAGATTAACGATGAAGATTGAGGAGATAAGACGAGCATTGAATGATCAATCTCCTCCCAGTTGTCGAATTCACGCTTGATCAGAATTTGAAGCAACCCTCGACCAATGATATGATATGCTATGCGGATATACTTGAAGCAATGGCGGAAGAAGTGATGGGAGAATTCCGTGAGGTAGACCCGCTAGAAGTGTCACTAATGGCCGAAGAAGCAAGTCTATACAACAACTGGGAGGAGATTGAGGAGATAAGACGAGCATTGAATGATCAAGAAGCCGAAAATGCAATTTCTGCAGGAGTGGGCGACCCGCCTGAAAAATGGGCAACCCGCCCACTTTCAATAGCTGATGAAGAAGTGCAGAAAAAAATGGGCGACCCGTCCGAAAAATAGGCGATCCGCCCATTTTGTCTGAGCAAAAAAACTGTTGACGCGGGCGACCTGGACCAAGAACGGGTGACCATGTGTAAAAAACGGGCGATCCGCCTGAATTGTCTGAGCAGTTTTGACTCAAACACTGTAGAAGTGAGCGACCGCCCGTCAAAATGGGCGACCCGCTCGAATTGTCTGAGCAAAACTGATCCAAATGCTACTGAAGTGGGTGACCCGCCTGAAAAATGGGCGACCCGACTGTTTCCACCCGGAAATGAGGACTTGGACTTCGGAAGCATCTTGTCGCCCATCACACCGTTCTTGACTCATCTCAAGGTTCAAAAGGGAAATCATACACCGATTGGGACCCCGAACGTGCTCCACAAGTGGAACTAAAGCCCTTACCCCAAGGGCTTAGGTATGTCTTCCTTGGTTCAAATTCTACTTATCTCGTTATCGTTAAAGATGCATTAGATGAGGATCAAGTAGAAAAACTCACCAAGTTGCTTAGGCAATACAGGGAAGTCCTAGGTTACACTCTAGGAGACATCAAGGGTCTTAGCCCCTCTCTTTGCATGCATCGCATACACTTAGAGGATGATACCAAATCGTCAATCGAACATCAACGTAGGCTAGACCCGAACATGATAGAAGTGGTCAAGAAAGAGGTCTTGAAATTGTTAGATGCGAGTATGATTTACCCGATTTCGGACAGCTCTTGGGTTAGTCTGGTGCAACTCGTGCCTAAAAAGGGAGGAATCACAGTCCTTCCTAATGACAACAATGAACTTATACCGACTAGAACTGTTACGGGATGGAGAATGTGCATTGATTATCGAAAACTGAACACAAACACCCGTAAGGATCATTTCCCCCTTCCATTCATTGATCAAATGTTAGAAAGACTTGCACTGCATTCTTATTTTTGTTTTCTCGATGGTTACTCCGGTTTCTTCCAAATTCCTATCCATCCGAGTGACCAAGAGAAAACAACATTCACATGCCCTTACGACACTTTCGCATATAGACGCATGCCATTTGGATTATGCAATGCACCCGCAACTTTTCAAAGATGCATGATGGCTATTTTCTCCGATGTCATTGAAGATATTATGGAGGTGTTCATGGATGATTTTTCTGTCCATGGACCCTCCTTTGATGCGTGTTTAACCAATCTCCATCGAGTGTTAGACAGGTGTCTCAAGGCGAACTTGGTTTTGAATTGGGAGAAATGCCACTTCATGGTGCGAGAGGGCATTGTACTTGGTCATCAAATTTCGGACAAGGGGATAGAAGTGGATAGAGCGAAAGTGGAAGTGATTGAGAAGCTAGCGCCACTGACCAACGTTAAAGGGATCCGAAGTTTCTTAGGTCACGCCGGATTTTATAGGAGATTTATCAAAGATTTTTCGAAGATAGCGAGACCTTTGACTGCGCTTTCGGGCAAGGACGTTCCGTTTGAGTTCAATGAGGAATGCCACAAAGAGTTTGGAGTATTGAAGAAAGCATTAGTATCACCTCCAATTATCCAACCCCCGAATTGGAGTATTCTTTTTGAGTTGATGTCTGATGCTAGTGATTTTGCGGTCGGAGCCGTATTGGGACAAGAGAAAGATGGGAAGCATTATGCTGTATACTACGCAAGTCGGACGCTCGATGATGCTCAAATGAATTACTCCACCATGGAAAAGGAGCTCTTGGTTGTAGTATTTGCTTTCGAGAAATTTAGATCATACTTGGTGGGCTCTAAGGTCATCGTCTACACGGATCACGCCGCATTGAGGTACTTGCTCACGAAGAAGGATGCTAAACCAAGGTTGATCCGATGGGTGTTACTTTTTCAAGAGTTTGATTTAGAGATCCGCGATAGGAAAGGAACGAAAAACACAGTGGCAGACCATCTATCGAGATTGGAAATACCCGAGGCTGTGCCAATTGATGGTTCACTAAGGGAAGAACACATCTTTTCTTTGGAGATCAAGAACGCGGCCCCTTGGTATGCAGATTACGTCAACTACTTGGTTGCCTAGGTGATACCCCCGGAATTAAGCTACAATGGGAAGAAAAAGTTCTTCCATTTGGGATGAGCCTTTCCTGTTCAAGAGAGGCAAGGATGGATTATTTAGGAGATGTATTACGGGGGAGGAAGTGAAGCAAGTGATACATCATCGTCACGCATCGAACTACGCAGACCATTTTGCTTCGGCCAAGACCGCCGCAAAGATCCTACAAGCAGGCATTGTCAAACTCGGTACGCTACCGGTTGACGCCATGTCCCACAGAAAAAGACAAAACAGAACGAACAAAAACAAAATGCAGATTCTATCAATGATCTACTACCAGATAGTCCATCATCAATCAACGACAACATAGATGCACATACAAGCTATATTCCCATACAGAAAAATAACCCTACAATAATTTTCTATATGGGACTAAGATCCGTATTTCACATAAGAATGAGTTGTTACACTCAGCCTTACGCTATTTAGGTAGACATCTAATATCAATCACATCCAATGTGACTCTTAGATCCTTTATGAGACTATGATATCAAATATCATTGCATACATGTCTCATCTATACCGTTAAGTCTCAAGTTCACACTTTTATAAGCTCATGCGATGCTTGTCAAAGAACGGGCAACATCTCTCGGAGGAATGAAGCACTGCAAAACTACATCTTCGAAGTGGAACCCTGATACACGCACCGGCTTCGGAGTTGTATAGAGATGGCCCAATTGCAATCACCGGCACTCGCGAAGGAGGCGCTCGAATTCACTCTTGAGAAATAGATGGAATCGAAGAGGAATTACGGGACGATGGCTCAATCACCGGCACTTCTATGAAGGCTAGTCACGAGTAACAAGAAGGAATATGATGCCAAAGAAAGCGAGGATGAGAAGCCGAAGGAAAACGTACTTGAAAAGTCCAAGGCAATATTGGTAAAAATCTGCAAGGACTACACAGTGCTTCCAATAACAGAATCTCCACATCTCGGAACAAGCGCCCAAGAACGTATGATCAAGATCAATGGTTATGAGGACTACATGGTACCCGATGCTCCAAACAACCACACAAGTCTCATAGGTTATTCGCTAGGAGGCGATCCCGGTAATTTCGTTCCTCTTTATATTCTTGTTTATGATTCTTGTCTAAATGAAGTCATAGTCCGATTTGAGTCCGAAAAAGACGTTTTGCAATTGAAATGTTTTTACCAACATCTCGGGAAGAACACTTGCTGCACTAACATATTTGCTGCCCTAGATTATGTCTTTGAGTTGCAGGTGTTCCAAACTCGGAAGGAGAACGTTTCTCCAAGATATAGTTTGATGCATCGCTCGGGATTCCGAGATCCTCATCATTCCCTCCCTCTTCTGGAGGTTTCGCCCTCGTAACTGTTTTGCCTACATCAAACGGGGCCAAGTCAGCATTAGTGAAAATATAAGTTATGTCATACTCACCTTGGTCTTTGCATGCTTCGAAAATTCCAAGCACTTTCTTTCGAGCCTTTCCCCGTTCGAAGGGTTTATCCTTTGTGAGGTCGTGGTTGTCGTACCAGACCTTTTCTCGTTCAAAAGGTTTATCCCTATTTATATCCATGAGTCCGTGGTTAGGATTAGGCATTTCATGCGACCATTGCGCTGGGAGGATACTCGTGTTTTCTGTCTTTTTCTCCATGCAAACGTTCTCCTTCCGAGTTTGGAACACCTGTATAATAACATAAAGAAAGAATAATTTGGACATGTTTTGTGGAAGATATGAGCTTAATAATTTGATGAGTCAACAACCGAACAACTCATCGAGCATGACTCGTTATTTAGTTCGAATGGTTGACCATATGTCGATGGCTAGCGATTCGAGTCAACTTCTGAGTCACCGGATCACTTACCG